TGAGGGCAAGCATTGTCGTGAACAAAAAATCCTGAACCTTGTTGTGCGTAATGGGGTCGTACCCTGCGTAGACGTTTCATGAAACGGATCAAAATTTTAATGTGCGTTGATGGTATTCATCGGTATAATTCGGATGGTATAATTCATCGTCGTTCCCTCAGGTAGAAATTCCATGTGGATAACGTTTTGACTATCAAAAAAGGTGATGGGCATCGTTTTGATGTGGGATTTTTCTTCTCTGGCCGTCAAGGTGATGCCGGAGAACGCCATTCCATGCTTTGACGTTTCGTTTCAGGGACGTACCTGAGCCACCAAGACTTTAGAACACCGGGAAGTTTCTTGGAGTGTTCTCAGTTAAGAACCAATGCCTTAAACAAGCACTTTGCAAAACAAGTCTTACACGGAGTACAAACGACGCTCAACTGAACAACGGTGCGGTCAGGTGGTCAACACCAGCCGCTACGCATGTGCAGCATTTTGTTTTGCCAGTGTTTCCAGATCAGCCTTTCTGACTTCATTCACCGAATTATTGTCAGAGGGTATATTATAACTTTTTTCGCCATCAGGGGATGGTTTCATCCCTTTAAAGTGTCTTGTACTATTGCTGATTTAAGCTCATTTCGGGCCATGGGCGCAGAAGATCTATAGGCTTCTTTGGCACTGGTGAATCGAAATTAATAACCAGAAAATCTGGTTGAATTCAGTTTATCCAGACCTCGGCTCCTGGCACCCACCCCAAGCACGCAGTGGATAAACCGGCATTGTCTTGTACGTAGTTTGGCTATGGTAGTTGAAATTACGCGGTTGCAATTAAGATTTGCAATGAAGTGCTTCTTAACTGGACGGTATATGATTAACGTCTAGCTATTACATCAGTATCAGTAAAGGTAAGACTATTGGAAAATTGAGGAGAATTTCGGGCCTCCTTGGCGTGGTTATTAGCCCGCTCATCTCCAAAGATGTCCACGTCGGCCGGTGTACATTGCTAAGTACAAGTTTTTTGGGTAGAAACTACTCTATTAATAAGGGCAATTATATTCTGGGTTAGTTGAGAATGGCCGCTCTGGATCGTCAGGAGTGTATATCTACAGTCTGAAAACAGTAAAATGCCACTGGAACTTTTGATTGCCCTGTTACAGAAAATATAGGTAATATGTTTTATCCATTTATTACTGATAGCAGTGATTCATTTAAACCGTTAACTGAATATATATTGAATATTCAGTTGAACTTTAAGAAAATACTCAAAGGTTATCTTATAAGCTATTTTGGTAAAGATTATTATATTTATAGAATTTTTGAAATTAAGCTCTATATTTCAAATGAATATATCAGGTTGAGTAAAAAGTTTTCCACCAAGGGGAGATACCTTCACTCCAACATCGGCCATTCCCATTGTAGTTAATCTTTCTCGAAATGGGTTTTTACATTCTAAATCTGAAAGTTAGAACTACATGACTGTGTAATTTGTTTGTCAAAACTTTATTGTCTTGTACACCAAAAGAGTGTTTAAAATGGAGCAACTACGTTAACAGGTCAGAACGCTTATGTACTAGAGTCCTGAAATAAATTCAGTGCAATTGAATGCCACAAAAAAAAATTGTGAAAGTTTAGGTTTCAATACTGTTTTTTATGATACTGTAAAAGTTTAGTATCGAAAGTTTACAGCTCTCTGGGAATTTCGACATTGAAATGAAACACATTCTGGCTGCCCTATCGAGGTGGATTGTGACCAGTTAAAGCAAATAATTGATCAACACAGAAATGTTTCAACACAAACTATTGCATTAGAGTTTGTCGTTTGTTAAAAAACAATAGTTAATGCTTTCAAACGCATACGTTTAAGTTTAACCGCTGGGTGCCCCTCATGAATCGACTGCTGAAGACAAGAGCAAGAGAAAATCGGCCTGTTTGGCTCTGTTCAGGAATCAAAGGAAAGAACATTCTGGGCAGAATTTAGACCCGAGATGAAAAATGGATGTACTACAACAATACAAGCAGTGAAGGAGGTTGGTCAACACCCGGGGAATCAGTAGGTTCGGTTGCAAGACGAACGCTAAATAACAAGAAGGTGCTTCTCTGTATCTGGTGGAATTGCCATGGAATTATATCTAGGGAGTACTTGAAAGCGGCAGACTATCAACAGTACAATATACAGTGAAATGCTAATTGAAATTAGCGATACCATTTGCGAAAAATGTATAAAAAGAGTTCAGAAGGAAAGTCGATCTCTTTCATCAAGACAACTCCTGGCCACATGTTAGTGCGATGACCAGCTAGACGCTCTACACCCTGAAGTAGCGTTTGATGCAACATCCACCATACAGGCCAGACATAGCGCCTTCGTATTACTATCTGTTTTTACATTTGCAGCTGCATCTTGAGGACGCAATTTTCCATTCAAATGACAAAGTCATAAATGAGACCAGTCGCTTTTTGGACTCGTGCACACCACAGGTTTTCGCAGAAGGGATTGAAAAGTTACCAAAACGCTGGCAGACCATTGTAGATTTAAATGGAGATCACTGATCTCATTAGCGCTGCTGATTTTGTATGTATTTATCATTTTACAAGATTTTTTTTTGGCGGAAAACTTTTTACTTAACCTAATACATAACAAATGTTATAATTTGGTTTAGACTCCAGCTAATTCATCACACACTTCTGATTCGCAACACAAATCCTAGGTTTGAAAAGCAAACACATATATACATTTCGTATGACCCAAATGACTATGAAATCAGAATCTAGGGAATGATTTCAAATTATTGATCAACAGTAACTCAAATATGTAAATAATATTACTTACAAGCACCAAATACAAATACAATTCTATAATTGTAGCAGTATTAAAATTTCTAGACACTTCGATTTTTTTTTTTTGACAGGTCTCTAGAATTATGTATTAAAGCAATGAAAAAATTTGTGAATAATTCTTCTATTTTGGAAAATTCTTTTTTTCTTAGGACTTAACTTCGATTTTTACGCGATGACTATCTCTTATAACCATTTATACTTCACTATAATTCAGGTAAAAGACAAGTTTATTGAGAGAATCATTATGAAATGTTTTCACAAGCTGGGATTTGTAAAGAAAAGGAAAATCAGAAGGAATAACCGCAGAGAGAAACTTAAATAAAATTGATCCTGAGCTTTGCTTCCGACATTTGATGGAAAAGGTAGCTTATCGAGTACCTCGTTTGAAGACCACGTCAAAGTGAACCCAAGATGAGGCGAGTATGGAATGGGTGTGGCGAAATAACGAACGCGGGTATCAATGCCTAAGCGATAAAGAACAATTGATGTAAAGATGGAGTGTGTAAGGATGAAGAGTATGGGGAAACGCCCATTATAGCGCAGCCGGAACTATAATATATATATGAATTTAGGTGTAGTGCTTCTTAAAAATCAGTATTATATAGAAGATTCTATTGTTTTCATCATTTAACTGGTTAAAATATTTACAATGATTCAACGACTGACTTCAAAGAGACAAGTAAAAATATTTATATTTTTAAAAGGCTGTAACTAACTAAAGTTGTGTAATAAATTGGTATGCAAAAGTTAAGGAACAAATACGTTTGCTGGGATTTTTCAAAAACTACTGAATTAGTGGCGTACACAAGGGTGGGGTTTGGGGGCTAAACCCCCATAAACCAACAAATTTTTAGGTTTTACTATAAAGATTTATCTTTGTTGCGGTAGCCCAGTGGTCAAGGTAACGGACTCATAGCAGTCGCTTTATGAGTTCTAGCATAGTGCCGCTGAAGACCACCGTGTAGGAAAGCAATGCACGTTAAATCTTTCGAGAGCTCAAACGTCCTC